TTTTGTGTTTATTAATATCCTACTTTGTAGTGCATTGCTAAAGCACTACTAGTGCTTAGCAATTTACAACATATTACCTAAGTAAAACTCATATTTTAATATTATATTAATATTTAATATAATTAATAATTTCATAATATAATCAAAATATTAGTATTTTAATGTATTAAAACATACTATCAAATGTTAACATAGTCAAAATATTATGTTAAGTGGAACACAAAATATTACATATAGTATCATTTAATGCATATGAAAATCTAGAAAAAGAAAAATTCAGTGATAGAAAGCAGATTGTAGTTGCCAGATTCAGAAGTCAAGAGCAAGGCCCAACTCTAAAAGCATACGATTGTATTTCTAAAAATGGATGAGCAGATTCTATATTTTGCTTGTGATGGTGGGTGGTTACATTACTGTACAAGTTTAAATTTCATCAAAATGTGCAATTAAATTGGTGAACATCTTACTTAAGTTATATGTCAATAAAGCTGGGGGAAAACATAACCAGCTATTCACCAGAATGTAAGCACAATGTAGACAAGAAATAGATTTAATTTAAATCTGAATTTCACCGTTGTGTGCTGGCGTATATTAGGTAATTAATAAATGTTAGTTAAATAATGAAAAAATGACCATGAGTTGCATTATTGCACATCTATATAAAACATATACACTTAATTTACTTTATTTATTTTATGTGTATACTTTATTTTATATCTATAATTTAATTTATAGGTATACTTTTGGGGACTTTTGAAGTCTATTTGATATCATATAATAATGATGGAGTAAATTTTATATTCCATAGAAAAAAATATGTAGTATTTGTTATATAATTAATAATATTTGATTTAAAAAATTTTTCATTTTAACATTTTGCTTACAATTATTCTAAAATCCATGGCTTACTGATTTGTCAATGAAAAACAGAAAACAAAAAGTATCCTGAAATCTTGTTGGGAAAATACTGATGTATCAGAATAATAGTAATCAACCTTTTTTCCCGTGCTTATGTTTTCCTTCTTTTTCATGTTTCCTGATTTTTTTCAGGGCATATTTTTTTCCCCAACATAATAAATTACAAACAAATATTCAAAGAAAACACAAACAGGTGTAACAGAAAAGCTAGCTTGCAAAGACAGTATTTCTCCATTAAGTGCCTGAAATAGGACAGAAAAAAAAGAAGCAAAGTGATTGAATACACTGGTGGAAGAGAAGTATTAGTATAAGGGAGAAGATCATCACATAGGGCCTTGGAGCAAGGTGAAATGAACTCTGAGGATAAACTACCATTGAACATGCATGCACTTTTCTGTGATCTCAATATGTGTTTCCCCAAAATGTACATATTGAAATCCTACCCCGCAAGGGATGGTATTAGACAGTAAGGCCTTTGGGAGGTGACTGGACTGGTCATGATTGCCAAAGCCCTCATGAATGGAATTTGTGCCCTTATAAAGAGATCCAAGAGAGACCTCCTTCGTCCTTCCACTATGTGAGGATACAGTGAGAAGGCACCATCTGTAAAAAGGTGGCTCTTCACCTGGGGCTTTGATCATAGACTTCCAAGCCTCTAGAACTATGAGAAATAAATTTCTGCTCCTTATAAGGCATACAGTTTATGGTATTTTGTTATGGCATCCTGAAAAAATACCTTTCTTACTTTTACCTGTGGCCAGCCTGACCTTTAACAGCACAAGACATTTATAAGCATTACCCCACCTCTGACAGAAACCAATGGAAGACGGGTTTTGGGCAGTCTGTGTGGAGTGGCAGCCTGAAGGGAAACCCTTATCCACCGACAAGGGAGGGATTTAACATAACTGGAGGAGGAATGTCTCATGAACATGGGCAGTGGATGCTGTCTGTAGTTGTTATTCTTCTTAGTTGAAAGGAGAAGAGCCTCTCTGGCCTAATCAGATCCACTTAATGTCATTTTCCAGAAAGAATGAGAATCCTCCTCAAAGAGGCAAGAAGACATAGTCTGCTTGACATCCAGATGCCTCATTACAATGAGTCAACACTTGTCATTCTGTAACTTTTTCAGGAGAAAAAAAAATCTTTCCCATTATATCCATATGGAACTCAGAAATGTCTTGGCTGTGTAAAACAATTTTTGAACATTTCGGCTTTTTTGCAGTGGTAATTTGGTAGAGTTAGCAACCTCTGCTAACTAAGTCGTTGCTCAAAAAGAACAGTTCATCTATATTGGGTTGTGCATCATTGTGGTCTGTTTGCCACTCTTTGTTTCTCTGCTGTCTGCTTCTGTGCCTTAAAATTCAGCTGTGTGTTGGTGCATCCTAAAAGTATTTCTTTTGCTTTCATTTAAAATGAAAAACACCAGCTGTTCAGATGTCTTATTGTACATCTGTCTTCTCTGCCTGCTCTGCTTTCTAAATTCACAATTCTATCAACATCATTACTTTTCTTTCCATTTACTCTGGGTCAAAATTTTAGCATCACTTTGACTTCTATCACCACTTTATCTCCCATTAGTCACCTTGTTTATCAACTTTTCTCTGTTAATTGACTTTCAGATTCATCCTTTTTATTTTTCTACCACAGCAGATTCTCCAATCTCTCTCTGCATTTATCAGACAGATTAATACTCTCCTAACACTGCTTTTAGCTTTTTTGTCTCTAGGCTAAAACCTCTTGCTGCTTCTGCATTGCCTAGCATATCAAATCCAAATGACTCAAATTCTCAGCTAAGGCTTTCTATAACCTGAAATTCTCACAGTGTTCCTCTGCTTTAGCTCTCAATGCTCGTATCTTCTTGTATATCCAAATATGTAGTCCTTTTTAGGCCCTGTGAAGTCTTACCCAGGAGAAATGAGTCAATTCACCATATGCATATTTAAGCCATACATTTTTTTTTCACAAAGACATACAGTCAATTCTCATTATTTGCAGTAGTCATGTTCTATAAAGTTGCTGTGAACACTGAATTGCTGATTATTGCACTCTTGCCCCTAAAGGAAATTATGTATCTATACATTTATCTACATATGTCTATGTCTGTGCCTATACATACAGACATACCCATACATATAGCCTATAGAGTATAATTTTAATTTCTAGAAGAAAACTCACCCTAGTAGATTCTGTATTCTTTATAAAGGAGAAAATTAGAATCAAGAATATTAAAGTGGCTTGCCTGAAGCTACCCCTCTCTAAGTGTCAGAGCTGAGATTCCAACCCTGCCCAGTTGTCCTCAGGGCTGGAGCTTCTTGTAATACACTGTACTGCCACCTACCATTTTTATCTTCTGGTCATCTCTGTATGAGATCTGAGACAAACTGACTTATTTCACTTTACATTTAGACTGCTCCTAGGCTCACACTTAAACTTTGCTACTCCATACATGTCTGCAAATGACCATGAAAGCACTGTGATTATTGATTTTGGAATTACAGAAAAATTTTGTAGAGTAAGAGCTCACTAATAATAAAAATCCACTGTAAACTGTATATGCCTCTCCTCTGAGCTCCTAAATTAATATCTACATCAGCAGTAAAAAATATTATGCATTTTCAGTAATTTAATAGTGCTTCATGTGGTAATTTACTACATGAACAATGTTAAGTGTGTGTGTATAGGTGAGGGTACAATACATGTATTTATTAAACAGTTACTATCATAGCCAGCTAGATTGCTGCAAAAGTTTTACACAATGCTCATTCAGCAGTCATCAATATAAAATGTAAGTATAAATGTTTGTATAGAATGTATAAGACTATTTTTAGTCTTACAACTCAATATTTAGAATTTTGGGGATGCTTTTGTTTAAAACCTTTGTCAATGACGTGTATTGTTTTTGTGCTGCTATTTATTATCATTTCTAATGTTTATTGAATATCTACCACACCATAGGCCCTGCACTCAGTACTTCACAAACATTAGCTTTCTTAGCATTCACATCAATATGCCCTATGTTCTCTCATTCTTTTTTTAAATCATGCTTTAAGTTCTAGTGTACATGTGTAGATCGTGCAGGTTTGTTACATAGGTATACACATACCATGGTGGTGGATTGCTGCATCCATTGCCCTGTTATCTACATTAAGTATTTTTTCTAATGCTATCCCTTTCCAATATCCCCACCCTCTGCTATTCTTCCCCTAGTCTCCCACCTCCCAGGCTCCAGTGTGGGATGTTCCCGAACGTATGTCTGTGTATTCACATTGTTCAACACCCACTCATGAGTGAGTACATGTAGTATTTGTTTATCTATTCTTTTTTTTTTTTTTTTTGAGACAGAGTTTTGCACTTGTGACCCAGGCTGGAGTGCAATGGCACGATCTCGGCTCACTGCAACCTCTGCCTCCTGGGTTCAGGCAATTCTCCTGCCTCAGCCTCCCGAGTAACTGGGACTACAGGCATGCACCACCATGCCCAGCTAATTTTTTTGTATTTTTAGTAGAGACGGGGTTTCACCATATTGACCAGGATGGTCTCGATCTCTTGACCTCGTGATCCACCCGCCTCGGCCTCCCAAAGTGCTCGGATTACAGGCTTGAGCCACCGCGCCCGGCCTGTTTATCTATTCTTGAGTCAGTTTGCTGAGAATGATGGTTTCCAGTTTCATCCATGTCCCTGCAAAGGACATGAACTCATCCTACTTTATGGCTGCATAGTACTCCATGGTGTATATGAGCCACATTTTCCTGTTCCAGTCTATCATCGATAGGCATTTGGGTTGGTTGCAAGTCTTCGCTGTTATGAATAGTGCCACAATAAACATATGTGTGCATGTGTCTTTATAATAGAACAATTTATAATCCTTTGGGTATATACCCAGTAAAGGGATTGCTGGGTCAGATGGTATTGTTCTCTCATTCTTTACATGTCAAACAACTTGGCAATGGCAAAGCCAGCTTCATAATCAAGTTTTTCTGATTATGGAATCTGAGCTTATAACCTCTTTGTGTATGGAGAGTTCTACATTCCTAGCCAATAATATATATGACATTGGTGAATATTCTATTAAGTTATTTTTCTCAGGAGCTCTTGGTGGGATGGGTCCGCTTCCTCTTCACCATCACAGGCTTCTGGCTGTGCAGGATGGCGCTGGCCCTGAGGATAGCTGCCATGCGCAGGTTGGGCTGGTACTTGTTCTTGTCTATCATGTGTCTGATGCTGCTGAGCCTGGCGCAAGCTTTCTTGTTGATGGTGGTCCGCACGTAAGAGATGGCAGGCTTCCACTGGCCGGATCTCCGCTTCGTGACCACCAGGACACCTTTGCTGTCGGCTGCCGGCTCCATGCCCACATACTTTCGGTGAATCAGCCCGTTGTAGCAGAAGGAGTTGCGAGTACCTGCACCTGGTACCTCGGTTGGAGCAAGGAGATCTCTGGATTTCTGCGTCTCTCTTGCAGGGTGTTGTGCGCCTTAGTTGTGTCTAATCTGCCATCTTGGATCTTCTCAAAAAGATCGGTCCTTCTATAAGTAAGAGGAAATTTCCTTCCATTTAACTGCCACAAACTGGGGCATTGTTTTTTTTTTTTTTTTTTTTTTTTTTTTCCTGCCTTCAGTCTCAAATGGAAATACCCACTCTTTTTGGGTCTCAAGCCTGATGGTATTTGGACTGGAGCTACACCATTGGCTCTCCTGGGTCTCCAGCTTCCTGGAAACAGATCTTGGGACTTGTCAGCCTCCATAATCAAGTGACCCAATTCCTTATAATAAACTATGTATCTGTATATCCTGTTTGTTATGTTTTTCTGGAGAATACTAATACAAATGTGCACTTTACTTAAGTAATATTAAATTACATTTCTTAAAAGTTAAAGCATATATATGAAGACAGGTTCAGAAAAATCTATTTTTCTTCAGGAACCCAAAACGGATCATAGGAAATATGGATGAGAATATTGAAAGCAAAACAAACAAACAAAAGCCAATTTTCTCAATGGTACTGGATCAAGGAATGATAGACACTGCCGAAATAAGCCCAGATTCTCTCCCATATGAAAAGGAAGTTTTCGTTTGTAGAAAGAAGACCAAGAAAAGAAAATCATCCTGAGGGCACTGGTAAGCTATTCACTGGAGCTGGGGAGCGGGAGAGCAGCCCCGACAGCAAAGTTATCTACTCAGTGAAACAGTAGCCTAATATTGCAGAGTGAATAGCAACTAGACTATAAACTGAACATACTGGGGAAACCATAAAAACCCACTGCAGATGAAAGAAGAGGCACAGCAAATGAAATTAAGGGAGAAATAACTCTATCCTTGAGAAAAGGATAGATATACCTTCTAGGCCCAGGATTACTTTTAGAGAATGGCTGGGACACTTGTGAAGGTCAAACCCTAAGACCAATGTTGTCAGGGCCTACTTCAGACTGAAATTTATCAGACCATCAAAGAATGACCTCCCTAGCTCACACCTGAAAACATACAAACTTTAAATAAACATGCAATCAAGATACATTTGGGGAAGTTTCAAGAGACAGTGGCTTGGTGTGAACCACAAAGAGAAGGCCTAGAGTTAAATTTGAAGAACTAAAGACAATCAGAAAGCAACATTCAAAACTCAAGGAAAGCTCACACTAAAAGTCCACTAGAAGGAATGACATATCTTCTCTGTGCAGAAAGCAATAGGTATCTCAGTTTTTAATCTTATACAACATTTCTAGCTTTCAGTACAAGTTATAAGGCATACAAAAAACAAGAAAATCCCAGTCAGAAAGGACAAAGGGATAATCAAACCCAGGCTCAGATATTTCATAGATATTGCAACTCTCAGGCAGGAAATTTAAATTAAGTAGAATTAATATGTAAAGTTTACATTAAACAAGGTAGATAATACACAATACCAGATATCTAATTTCAGGAAACATTGAAAACAATGGAAAGCATCAAGCAGAAATATTGGAAATCAAAAATACTGTAATGTGGATGAAGAAGACCTTTAATGAGCTTGTCAGTGGACTCTCCACACAAGGAAAACATACTTTTGAAACTATGTCACTAGAAATTACTCAGATTAAAATACAAAGAGAAAAAAAGAAAGAAAAGATGGGGGTTAAGGAAGTTACAAAACATGCAACAACTAAATGACCTTAGCAAGAGTTTTACTGTATATATATAATGAAAATCTCTTTGCAGAAAGGAAAGAAAGCAATAATGTTTTTAAATAATAAATGAAAAGTTTTTAGTGGCAAGCACCAATTTACAGCATCAGACAGTTCAGAGAATATCAAGTAGAAAACAATACAAAAAAAAAAAAAAAACCCAAAAGGCAAGCCAAGCATTCATTCAAATTGTTGAAGAAAATTTATGACAGAAAAAAATTGAAAGCAGCTGGAAAATGAATACATATTACCTAAAAGTAATCAAGATAATAGCTGCAGTTCGCTCTTAGAAACTCTACAACTAAGACAAATATTTGGTCTTAGTCTACAATCAAGACAAACTCTATAACCAAGACATGTTTAAAATGCTGAAAGAAAAGTAAAAAGACTATCAAATGAGACTTCTATGTCTAATGAAATTGGTCCTCAAACTAGAGTTTTTGAAGACCTGACTTATAAGAAGTATTAAAAACATGTATTCAGGGAAAAAGAACACAACCATTAGAAATATTGACAGACTATTAAAGAATATTACATATGGGATAAATGATTAAGAAATATATTTTTAGAATTTTAAATTCTTCCAACATATAAATGATTGCTTAAAGCCATAAGTGTAACAATGTAGTGTGTGTTCATAACTTATGTAAGAGTGAAATACATAAATGCAATGACAGCAAAAAATGGGAGATATTAACTGAAAATATGTATTGTAACTTTTTTTAATATTATACAGGAAGCATTATGATATTAAGTAATAAAATATTCAAATTGTCTTTACAATACATTGAAAACCATGGGGTAACCAAAAAATGTTAAGAAAAAGAGATACACATAATAAATTAACAGATGAAATCAACAAAATCACAAATAAATAAACTGATGGAGGGCAGAAAAACAGAGAAAAACAAAGAAAAAATAGAGCAAAATGAAAAACAACTAGCTGGATGATATATCTAATCCAACAATATCAATATTTAATTCAAATTTAATGGTTTAAACATACCAAGAACATATTAGACTTATATGAAAGAACAACTATGTTTTTCTACAAGAAACTTTTTTTTTAATGTAAAAATACATAGGTAAAAATTAAAAGGTTTAAAAATATGTTCCATGAAAACATTAAGCAAAAGAAAGCTAATAGAGTTATATTTATCTTAGGCCAACTCAAGAACAAAGACTGGTACTAGGAATAAATAGAGACATTCCACAGTAAAAAAGAAGTCAATCCTCTAGGAAGAAATAATCCTAAATGCATCTTCACCTAATGAAAAATATGACAGGCAAATAATTATGTATATAAAAGGAGAAACAGATAATTCCACAACTGTATTTGAAGACTTCAACGCTCCTCTTTCATTAATTAAGAGAATAAATAGTCAGAAAATCAGGAATGGCATAGATGACCTGAAATCTTTTCTCTAATTTCATTTATCAGATATTAAAAATAGTGTTCATAGTATAATATTTATGAACTTTAGACCATATCTTAGAAAATGGTAAAGTAATAGAAATTTTACAAAGTATTTTGTTGAAATATTAAATTAGAAATTAATTACAAAAAGGTATCAGAGAAATTCCCCAAATATTTATTAATTTAGCAATACATTTCTATATATCCCTTGAGCCAAAATATTTCAAAAGACACCAATAATTAGTTTTAATTATATAAAAAAAGAAATACAACATATTAAAGTATTTTGATTGAAGTAAAAGCAGTGCTGAAGAGAAGTGTGTAATGAATATGTATACTAGAAAATTTCTAAAGCTGCTATTTCAAAGTTCTATCAGAAGACTCTAGAAAAAAAATAAAATTACACAAACAAATAAACAAAAATCCTGAAGGGGAAGAAAACACTACATGTTAGAGAGGAAAACAATATATTTGAAAAGATAAAAATGGTGAAAACCAGTGAAACCAATAACTGATTAACAAAATTCTAACCAAGCTGACCATGAAAAAGCAAAACACAAATTACTAATATCAGGGATGAAAAAGGAGGCAGTATTATTTATCTCAGAAACTATAAAAGCATAACAAAGAAATACCTCAAACAACTATATGACCATAAATTCAACAACTTAGCTGAATAGATGAATTCTTTGAACAACATAAACTGTTATCCAAGAAAAAAGTATGTATTCTGCATGATCCTTTATCTTAAATAAATTGATACTTAAAAGCTTTCCAAATTTCAGGTGCAGTTGACTATGACAGCAAATTTTAGTAAACATATAAAAACAATATATTATCAATGTACACATTCCATTTCAGGATATACAGAAAGAAAGATTACATGCAAGCTTATTTTATAAAGTTTGCATTACTCTAATAGCAAAAATATTGCAAAATAAAAATAAAAATAAAAACTAGAGACAAACATCACACATATAAAAGTGCTCAATAAAATACTAGCAATTTGAGTGCAACAATATATTGAAAGGATAATATATTATGATTAAATCAAGTTTATCTACAGAAATACTGATTTTAGAGTACAGAATCCTGGAGGACATAACCTTAAGTAAGATGTCAAGGTTAACATAATCAGTAATAATTCATGTTGATATCATATACCCTCAGCTATGATACAATAAAAAGAATACATCTTTTTTGGACTATTTCAAACCAAATTTGAGGGAAAGTTTACAAAATACTTACAATCTAGCACTCTATGAAAGTGTGACTATCATAAAAAACAAATAAAAGATTAACCAGGGATGGTGTCACATCTGTAATCCCAGCACTTTGGAAGGCTTAGGTGGGTTATTGTTTGAGCCCAGGAGTTTGAGACCAGTCTGAGAAAGATAGTGAAGCATTGTCTCTACACATCTTTTTTTAATAGCCGGGAGATTGGTAGTGTCCTCCTGTAGTCCCAGCTACTGGACAAGCTGAGGGTGGTAGGGATCACCTGAGCCCAGGGAGGTCAAGGCTGCAGTAAACCATGATTGTGCCTCAGTACTCCAGCCTGAGTGGCCAAGTGAGACCTCTCTCTCTTGCTCTCTCTCTCTCTTCCCTCTCATTCTCTCAGAGGAGGAGGAGGAGGAGAGGAGGAAAAAGAGGAGGAGAAAAGAAAAGAAAGGTTGAGAAACTGTTATAGGGAGACAAAGAAATTATGATGGTCAAAAACAACATAGTATCCTTGATTGCCTCTCTGTTAGCCCATTTTTTGCTGCTATAATAGAATACTACACACATGGCAATTTATAGTGAATTGAAATTTATTTCTCACACCTCTGGAGGCTGGGAAGCCCAAGATCATAGTGCAAGAGGGTGAGAGGGAGCAAAAGAACAGGAGATTGAACTTGCAGCCTCAAGCCATGTTATAATTGGAGTTATTCATGAAGGTGGATTCCTCATGATCTAAATATCTCCCATTAGGCTCTACCTCCCAGAACTGTTGCATTGGGGATCAATTTCCCACATATACATTTTAGAGTACACATTCAAATTTTAGCAGCATCCTAGAACATAAGCAGGACAATAATGGGCCAGGTGCAGTGGCTCACACCTGTAATCCCAGCAATTTGGGAGGCTGAGGTGGATTAATCACCTGAGTTCAAGAGTTAGAGACCAGCTTGGC